AGCCATTTGCCATCTAATAGCAGGATCCTCCAACTGCAGAAAAAGGAAAAAAGTATATAAAATACAAGGTTATAATATCAAAAGGAGAAGAATGGATCTACCATTATTTATTGGGCATAGCGTAAACAACATAGTGAGACCTCATCTCTACAAAAAATTAAAAAATTAGTCGTGTGTGGTGGCACATGCCTACAGTCGCAGCAACTCAGGAGGCTGAGGCAGGTGGATGGCTTAAGCACAGGCATTTGAGGTTGCAGTGAGCTATGACGATGCCACTGCACTCTAGTGGGGGTAACAGAGGGAGACTCTGTATCAAAAAAACAACACCCCCCCAAAAAAAACCCCAAAAAAGAAGCATACAAAAAAACTCTATGCAGAACTGTAGTTAGGTAGGAGGAAGAAGTCCAGAGATCTAATACAGCATGGTGACTATAGTTAATAATGTTGCACAGTATGCTGAAAATTTGCTAAGAGAGTAGATTTCAGAGGCTCTTAAGGAGATGGATATGCTAATTTGCCTAATCATAACAATCATTTCACTGAATGAATACGTATATCAAAACATTATGTTGTATACCTTAAATGTATACAACTTTTAAAAAAAAACAAAATACAAAAAAATTCTATGCAGAGAGAAAGAGGCCCTGTACTCATGAAATTTATCATCGAGTGGGGAAGACAGCCATTAAACAAATATTCACAATTGTGATGAGTGCTATAGAAAAGAAATATAAGGTACCATGGGATTTAACCTACTTTGTCGGTAGTTGGGAAGATCTCCCTAAAAAAGTGGAGTGTGACTAGGGCTTATGGATGAGTTGGACATAGTCAAGGAAAGGAGGTGGGTAAGGCCACCTTGAATCCTTCTCTTTCCCATTCACAGCCTAACTATTGAGAGATTTACATGGTTGCTTTTACAGCCAATGATGTAGGATCACATTATTCTATAAATATAGGGACTCTATAACAGAGCTTAGTCTCACTGAAACAAAGATCTCAAATTATATAAATCA